ATTTGTTAGTATTAAGGTTACCTACATTATGAAATAATCACTGATAAATGTTATTAATTTATCACTTTTACCAAGCCTGTCGGTAATTATTCATAATAACCGGCGATTATTCATAATTTTCAATTTATCTAACATATACCTACACAGAATTATTAATACGAATTTGAGTAGTGAAATAAATGCATAAATAAATATTTTACTTTTATGGTTCATTATTTTAATTATAATTGTAATATAAAAAAGAAAAAATATAATATTATATTCAATGTCATCTAACAAACCGACGACGGGCACTCGAGCTATTTTTTTTTTCACATTTTTAAATATTCTTTATTTTTAATTATATTATCATAAAAATAAAAAACATTATAATTCATTATTCATCTTAAAAAAAGAAGCTGCACAAAAAAACATTCATTCATTTCATTCTGAAACTACAATCGCGACGCGACCAACCAGCGACCTCCGTTTGCGCGCGAAGCCCAATTTATTTACAACTCCGCTGACCTGCTAAACCCTCCCCCCCACCCATTTTTTATGAATGGTTAAGAAGAAGGATTGGAAAAATTCAAATCGAATCGCGGACTAAGGTGCCATCAGCGCCATCTATCGTCAAATGTTGGAACTAAGCCTCAAAAATTAATTAAAAAGACGGGTTCGAGAAAAAATAGGTGATAAGTGCTGTGTGGCGCCATCTATTCCAGTTTTGGAATCCAGAGGAACTAAAATTTAAGTTGGCATAGAGGATTTTGCAAAGCAACTGCAAGACGCGTGCGCAACTAGTTTAGACAATATACAGTACTAGCTTTCCGCCCGCGGCTTCGCCCGCGTGGAATTTTGTCTGTCACAGAAAAACTTTATCGCGCGCGTCCCTGTTTCAAAAACCGGGATAAAAACTATCCTATGTTCTTTCCCGGGACTCAAACTATCTCTATGCCAAATTTCATCAAAATCGGTTGCGAGGTTTAAGCGGGAAAGCGTAACAGACAGACAGACAGACAGACAGAGTTACTTTCGCATTTATAATATTAGTTGGGATGTACAGACAAATTAAAAAAAAATATCGCTTTTGAAGAAATTAGACAATAATTAAGTCAATTATTGGTGTACTTATGAGGTTTACTTATGATGCCGCGAATGGCCCAAAAAGTAGATTCCAAAATAAATATGTAGCATCATTTGTGATCTGTACCGTCACTCATAACATGCACTACGCATGCATTGTATTTATGAGCGTCATGGCTGGCTATGCGCCATACCTGTGTTATCCTCTAGACGTGGAGGTAGGACGTTTGTCTCCACCTACGGAAATGAATGCAGGCTTCGCCAGCAGCCGGGAGGCCCCGCGGCAATGTGCATTCAGTGCGAGTTAGCTTTGTTCTTCAAAAATGTATCCTGTGATGCCGTACTGCATCTGTATATTCTGTGCAGTGGTTATGGACTACACACACGTGAAGTGGGCCAATCGAGAGGCAAGCTCTCGTATTCACAAACTACGTGAAGCGACGAGCGTGAAGCAGCAAATCGAACGCGCAGCTTTGAATAGAGCTCTGCGATTGGTTCATATCAACCTGTGCGTCCACGCGCACTGTGAGACCTCATAGTAAAGTTTGTGAATACAGGCATAAGTGGGGTTTTGATAGCTCTGATAAGCAACTATGGATTATGTAAATCCACGGTATCCACTGCGACGGAGATCGTGCGTGGGGATCCTCGGTCGTCCCACCAACAACAGCTTGATTGTCTACGCGATCTTAGTAGATCTCAGCGCCACAGCCAAGGAGTCCCTCCCACAGCCTACGGCAGTGCCCAAGCAGGAAGATTGCGTGACTGACGCATTTCCTTCGCGGAAAAGACAACCAGGCCTTTGGTGGGTAGTGGCATGGAATAGTTAGCAACATGCATGCGATCAATGAGACTAAGACTACGGCATGAGGCCTTGCAGTCTTTGGTCTTAACGCACGCATCAGTAGACCTTGATATTATTCAAAGGATCTTTTGGTCAGTTACCATGACGCCTTAAATTTTGATAATTTGTCTCTAAACGAGACAATATTGAAACTAAATATACGTACTTGGAAATCACGACAAATCTTGTTACCACAAGTAATATCCGTGATGACCCGATATAGTGGTTAAAGGAGATAGTAGTTCATATAGTTGGGGAAGTCACAAATGTAACTCAGGTTAAGTGATTTGATATTAAGAAAAATAATTAAAAGAAACGAATAGCTGGCGAGGTATTATGGTATCAAAATGTTTACAATGATTCCGTTTCAAAAGTTAAAATAACACTTGTTTTCGCAAACAACTTTTTGATAACGTAAACTTAAAACTATCTCATTTATGTAGGCACATAATACTTTAAAAAATATATTTTGACTAACTCATACGTAAGAAAACTCCAGTTTATAGTCCAAGACATAGTACAATATGTAATGTACTTTGTCTTGGTTTATAAAAAACAGTTTTGTATTTCTTCAGTTCAAAAGAAAAATATCTAGCACGGAAGACGCAAATCTAATTACTATGTGACTATTAATATAGTATCAGAGGGAATGGAAGGGAACAAAAAAAGAAGACGCTTGTACTCTTTGAGCGTAATTACAAAAACACTCAACAGAGGGCGGTCGGGTAAAATAAATCAATAGGTAGAAGGTATGCATGTATGTCGATCGTATTGAGTTCGTGTGTAGTCTACAGCGCCCGATCCACTAAGGCGGGAGCCCCACAGTCCAGACTACTGGAGCCCGGACTGGCCTTTGAGACCACAGCCTTAGGACTGCGGCCGCTAGGGCCGTAGGGCTCCACGTGGACCGGAGCGCCTGCTCGAGGCGCGGCGGGGCAGTGCTCCCGCGCCGCATGAGTCATGGCAGCCGCGCGCAGGAGGCGGCCGTGCAGTAACACTGAGTGTATGTGCAATGTACTAAGAATATGAGGAGTGTACTGTTGCTCTGTAGAGAGTAGTCAATAGGTGGAATGCGGGTGGGTTACAGGATTGACTAAGTTTTTAACTACACGCGAATGAAATTACTGACAGCGATAAATTGTTAAAAACCCACTAACATGTTAACGTATTGCATGTAACATGCTAGCGGAGCTGACCAGATACCCTGCCAAGCTAAACGCAGGCTATAAATACCTTTTTAGTGTTATCCTTATGCCAAATGCTTGTACGCTGTCACGCCACGCCTACGATGCACTGCCACGCCGACGAAGCTCTACCACGCCACGCCAACGATGCTCTGCCACGCCACGCCCACGAAGCTCTGCCACGCCACGCCCACGATGCCCTGCCACGCCACGCCAACGACGCTCTGCTCCGCCGTCAGCTCCACGGCCACGCGAGCCGGAGCCAGCTGAAGTGTTATTACAACAAGCAGTTAAAATTCTATTAAAATATTATCTTAACACGAAAAAAATAGCCATATGAAAACAACGGATTTGATGTCAAATACATTGTCTAGGGTCAGTAAAATGAGTGAATTTATCATTATGAACGGTTTCTATTCAAAGTCATAAAATCTACCTGCTCTGACAATTGGTCAGCTTTTTACTATACTATTTTAAAGGACAGTCAAGTTTACTCTAGCTAGCAACAACATAAGATACAATATTGGTAAAAAAAAACTTTAAAACATTACTCAAGAATGCGAGGCTAACTAAAAAGAGTACTTACACACTTGTATAATAAATAGTATGCTGCAGCCACTTTGAAAACCGTTTTCAAAAAGTTTGATAGGTAAATAAAAACTAAACTATGTATGTAAACAAAAAATATTTTCAACTTACGCATCACACGCCACGCCACGCACGCCGAGCCCACAGCTATGTGTGCATAGATGCCAATGATTATACATACTTATAAGCGGTTTGAATGAATAAATGCATTGTAATATACATAATAGTATGCCGTTCGATTTTCGAGGTCTCTTTTACAGGCACGAACAAAGGACTCAGTGGGACAGACAGAATATACCCTAACAATAATATTTCTTACATTATGACCTAAAGGGAAAGAGCATAACCCTCCTTCTGGTGCAGTCGGGTTAAAAAAATACAACGGTCTCAGTAGACTTTATTATAATAGTGGGTGTGGCTTACGGCCACGCCCCTAATATGGCGCCGTCGCGCTACATAATGGCACGCGGAGCTCGCACTAGTCCCTACAGCACCAAAAAAAGTTTATGGGCAGGGATGAACACTGTTATATGTATACTTGTAACAGCGCTCCTAACCTAAATATTCGCAAAGAGGATGTGAAGGAATCAAATTGCAAGTGTCTCTTGGTTTTTGCGTCGGTTGACTCATACGCTAGTTGTACTCGT